CTGGCTTATCTTGGACAATCTCAGAAGCCAGTTAAACAGACTCTTAGGGTTTTGTTCTTTTTTTTTCAAGACTAGTCACTTGGTCTACCTCATTTTTTTTCTAATAGCGTGCAGTGTTCTGCATAGATGTTATATTTCTGTAATCCTAAATTATTTGAATAAGGACATCATTGTTCAACACGCAGTTGTTTGTAATTCATTTACGAATGATTCATCACTCGGGCCAGATCCACCCTCTTTTTGTAACAGTTTGAATAAATATAGATAAGTAGTTCTTTGATTGATAATTAATAGCTCTGCTGATAACCTAGCCTAAGTCACTAAATAGGTGTAGATACCTGGACTTTAACAGCTGGTCCAGGAACCATCCAGGGGTGAAAGGCACAAACCCTGGTAAGTGAGCAAATTAAAGCTATAGTTACTCAACTAAGAACACTAAATTGATTTCAGCTCCGATTTTGAATAAGTTAAATAATTAACTATAACTCCCGTTCTAGTTAATCATTTATTCATTATCTGCAGGATATAATATTTCGTATCAACTTCATATTAAGGTTTTACTAATGGCTGCACCTTTGTTTAATTGTTGTGTACCAGATGATGTGCTTTAATACATAAAACCAACTCATACAGCTTTAACACACAGCCTAAAAAATGGGGGCACAACATTTAGAAGATGTATAATTTATTTAGAGCAGAGTTAAATAATCATTTGTCCAGGTATTTTCTGCTCCTCCAGCAGATACAGGAACATCATCATCATCATGTCAGTTATGTAATTCACAGCAATTTCTCTGTTATTGTGAAGAAAACAAAAAGATTTCACAGCACATTTAAACAGCGGTGATGTCGTAACAGCGTTTCACTAATTGTAACTCTGCTGATGTTTTTCATGGTGTTTAAATGGTCACACAGAACTCATTACAATCACACATAGTTCACATTTTAAAAACTGTACAGGCTGATGAACGGAAAGGAAATACACTTGATGAATATGATCTCACGAATCCGAGAGGAAATAAATAATTCAATCTGCTAAAATAATAACTGTATTAGGTTTAAATCTTTCTTTTGCTAAATCATCCACAGATGGGGGAGGGCAGCGCAGTGAGAGTCTCCTTTTATTTGGTCGCTAAATGCTTTTGGTAGCTTTTACTTGTAAACGATCACATATAGTATTAGTCTGGATCAGCTGGTAGGAGACTGTGGTGCATCAGCTCTGTTTTCCATTTAGTAAAAGCCTGGGGAGCTGGTTGGAGAAGAAAAGGTTCTTGTCATCATGAATCATTTAATTCTCTGTTTTTTCTTCAGAAATCTGCATATCTGTACCATCGACATCCAGTCCCCAAAATATGATGATTCTGAAAGATAAAAAAGCAGTCAACCTGACCTGATAATTGTGCAAATCCTCCTACTCGTGAACTGAGCTAAGTTGGTACTCTGCTGAAGGTACATTCAAGCTCAAATGTTTACACACCCCAACGACCTCCGTATGATGATCAGCAATCCGTTCTGTCACTCCCGGTTAGAGGTTGGGGGAAGCCTTTAATCATCAATCAGGTTTAGATCAAAATGAATGCAGAAACTAACCAGATTTCAGCCACAACCATCAAAGCTACACTTGAGGAGATGTCAAAGCCATGGGCCATAAATTGTCTGGTTCCATTGGCAAGATTTCTGAACAAATTCACTTATTTTAAGAACAAATGACTTATCTGGATTTAGATTTTTCCAGTGCAGGTTTCTTACCCACTTCCTGAAAAACACATCTTTGATTTTTTTTTTTTTTTATTATTTCTATGAATCAGTCATGATTAATCTGAGACTTAAATTTTTGAAGGTCGGTAAGAAGCAGCCCTGTGGTTTAGTTTATCTGTTCCTTAGTATCAAGAAACCTTCTGCTGCACAGCCTGAACTCCTCAGTCAGAATAATGGAAAACATTGCAGCTGATTCCTGTTTGGGTGACTGGATATCAGGTTGTTTGATTTTAAGACCATGTGAATGCTAAAGAAACAGCAACCGGAGTGTTTATTAGATCAGGCTGACTCTGCTGCGCCGCCCTGCGACTCACAATAGGAATCAGATTATTTCTTATTATCTCACTAACATAGAAAAGTCTAAAAACAACACACTGGTGTGCTCTGGGGTCACATGCTTCCACATCAGACCTGATCTGTTCCCAGCGTCTGAACAGGATCCATGTAAACAGCTGGATGATCGGTCAAACTGGACTGACCCGCAAGGAGGTTGCAAAGGTTCTGGCAGTGTATGGTTAAACCTTAGTGGTCCAGATTTGATTAGATGACCCAGATTCATACGAGTAGGAGCAGATCAGGTCTGGGCTAAAGGTTTCCTGAATTTAAAATTGGTTTTTGTGTAAAATCAGGAAGTCCATGGCACCAAGTATTTACTGAAGGACCTTAACCCGGAAAGTGACCCGACCCATATTCTTGTCCCGCTCATCGTTGTTGCGTAGGTTGGTTCCCTCCACTTTACATTCCACCGTCTGCTCCACGTTGTAGTCTTCTTTAGTTAGCAGCAGCTTGACGGCCACCAGAGGCTGGACGTAATCAGGCTGCAGGAACATTCAGAGGTTAAGGTTCTAATCTGCTTTGGGATCACAATGATCTGCAGAAATCAGCAGAAGACAACTAGGTGAAGAAGAAAAGGTTTAAAACTTGCACTAAATTTGGAAAATATCTTCTTTTATCTTTGTGTTAAAGCCATAACCCAAAGTGTCTGGAAATGTTCTCTTTGGCTCCAATGTGTTCTTCTTCTGAACAGTTTATCTTTTTATTTTATTTCATTATTTTCTTTCCTATGGGTTTTACATAGGTAAGAGTTCAAAGTATCTTCCTTGTTTTTCCTCTACTTTAAAGGGGAACGTTGTTCTTTTTTACATTAGGCCCTTGATTTTACATTATGACATCATGTTCTACTCACCCATATGAGTTTTGTGTCATTTGGAGCCGTTCTGAAGATATTCTGTTAGGTAATATCCAAGTAACGTCTTCCTATGGGCAACGACTTGAAAGCAGAAACTAAACTGTTCATAATTTATTCTTTATGGTACGCCAGCATTCATAACATTTAGGCCAATCACTGTCTCCCAGACATCCGCGGTTATATTTTTTTCATTTATATCTTTTAAAAACAAAGCGGAGTGTGTATGACGTCATCCGTGTGCACCGGCTACCATTCATTCATCCTGTGCGCTGAACTGCTAGTAGTTTTACTCACATGCCTGAAAGATGTCTAGTGCTACTATCACAGATGATCTCGCTCTCCAAATGGAATCGAACGATTCAGATTAGCTCGCCGAATGAATAGAAGGAGTAGAGTGTAGCCGCCTGTGGCCCGGGCTGCCTGTCACAACTCCAGTCTGGCGCTCGGATGACGTCATACACACTCAGCTTTGTTTTTAAAAGATATAAATATAAAAAATATAACCGGTGATGTCTGGGGGACAGTGATTCTCCTACATGTTATGAATGCTGGCGTAACATAAATTATAAATTATGAACAGTTTAGTTTCTGCCTTCAAGTCGTGGCTCATAGGAAGACGTTACTTGGATATAACCTAAAGGCTCCAAATGAAACAAAACTCATATGGGTGAGTAGAACATGATGTAATAACGTAAATCAAGGTTAGAAACAGCAAATGTTTTGCTGTTTCTAAGTAAAACTTTCTTTATGTAAAATTTTACTGGGACATATTTCCTGTTCATTTTCTGATTAGGGTCAATATTTCCAGAACTGATCAATCCTCCAGGCTTCTGGACATGCTTCTTCTGACAGGAACCCATTATTGAATTCTTCTGGCTTTAAGTGAATCATAGTTTGTTGCTATCTGCTGCTCAATCTGCAACTTTTTTCATACATTTAATACGTTTGCAACTTTCTGTCTGTTTCCTGTTATTTTCATTAGAAGATCTGGACTCCTTGCAGTTTTTCTTTTTTTATTTCTTTTATCCCTTCTGTTTGTGGAATTATTGAAGTGTTTGGTTAGACTCAACACTACTCTGTTTCAAAGGTCACCTCAGATCAAAGACGGTGGTCCCTAAATAAATTAGTCTGCTCCTCACCTGCTTTTCCACCTCCAAATAACAATCATATAAAATGTAAATCAATTAGTCTGTATTTTGTGTTTCATATCAGTGACTAAAATAAAATAAAATGGAACATTTGGCTAGTACATCCTTAACTGAACACATTAGTGAGTGAATCCATCCTAACTGAGAAGAAAAATTGAAATCATTTAATTGACTAAAAGTTTTCAGTCTGAATACAAGAGGCTTGTTTCTGTTCCATAAGTAGAAGGTTTCATTCAGGTGAAAATGAATCCTCCAATGTAATCATCATCTAAGAACTGAATCTATGAAGATGCAAACATACTTTACAATATAATGGACTCTATAAAGCCCTATGGGGGGTTGTTAGTCATGTGAGAGTGATGGTGATGATCGACTTAAACAGAAATCAAAGAGGAAACATATATGAAGGATGCTATTTTTATATGTCCGCTGCCCCATGTGTCTACTGGTAAGGCACTAGCTTCATAAGTCAGAGATTATGGGTTTGAGGCCCATCTAGATTACACTTAATAAAAACTATTGACCTCTGGAATTCAATTTTCCCCACTGAGGAACAAGGGAAGGCTATTTCTTTTATTATAGCTTTATATATTGACCCATTTTTTTTACATTACTACATCTCTACCTTTGCTTTAATCCAGATGTCACAACCACTCCCTCGACAGGAATAAGCCTGTCACCTAGGTAATACTTTTTTGTCAAAAAATGGATCTCTGTCAGAAGCTCAGTACCATGGCATCATGATGAGATCCCACCCACACATTGAGTCCAGTATGTTAGTGATGTTCTATAAAATGGAACAGTTGACACAACAGTTTGGACCAGTACATGTTGACATGCCTCAAAACGTTGTTAAATTAGCTCAGGAAGGGTGAGCCGAGAGCATCCTTGTATGGATTGACATGATCAGGCAGCAACTTCTAGTGCTGAAAATTGCATGCATGCAGTGTTAGGACTCTAGAGCAGTGGAGACATGCTTTCTGGATCGTTAAATCGAGTCTCCCCATGTTCCAACGCCATGGATGGATGTTTTTGGCCGGGGCAAACTTCCACGCAAAGATTGATTTATACGTTTTTTTTTAACTGTTCAGGAAAATGTGTGGTCTCTCTCACCAACTCAAATCCATCTATATAAGTACTGACATTATGGAAAAGGGGAAATAACTGACTTAAACGGTGACAGAGGAACTGAGCTGATTGTATTATAATTTCTATCACATTTGAATTCACCTATTATAATGTTTTAATCGTAGATTAACTTTATCAGATCTGAAACCACTTTATGATATGTGCTAGCACTGCTGAGCATACCTGTTACACAAATAAATAAGGTTAAAAAAACAGCTTACATTCAAAATAAAAGTCATCAGCAACAGCTCTAAGTGCTTTGTTGCTTGACGTGAAATATTTAGGGCTTAATGTTGGCATTAAGAGGGCAGAACAAGAGCTCTGCCTCATTGAGGTCCAGCTTTGATCTATAAAGGAAAATGGTTTTGTGCATGAGCATAGATTTTTACTGGTGTCACTTTTGTTCGGGTGTTTGGTGTGCATCCACCTTTATTATTAAGCTTCAAACAATGGGTTTTAAATTAAGACTCTTGGTCATTTTTCAGGAGTTAAACTAGACATCTTTCTTTAAGTAAAAACATACATTGAGGCTGGGGATATGAAAACTTTATTGGGAAAATGATCATTTTTAACATTTTTAACAAGATTCTGGACCTGAGGAAGAAAATGAGTCCAGCTCAACCCAATAGAACAGCTTTGGGTGAATTAGAGCAGAGACTGTGCGCCCAGCCATCCAGTCCAACCTCTGACTTAATAATCGCCCTTCTGGAAAAACGACCCAAACATTCTAAAAACCCACCCTTTAGTTATGTGAATAGCCTTTTCAAAAGAGTTAAAGCAAATGGTGGGCAGACATGACATTAAAACCAATGGATCAAGAATGTGAGAAGAATGAAATTCATGTGTTTGTGAAGATACACTCAATAATAAAGCCAGTGTAGTGAATATTCCTGTCAGAGTATTAAACTATAGCTTCAGCTTCTTAGGCTCAGTTTCATACATGACAGTGGCGCCATCATGTGGCCATGCAAGGAAATGTCAGGCTGAAGGCTGAAAATATGTTTGAGAATCAATATTATGAAGTAAAGTTACATAAAACCAGTGCAAAATAAATTAACTGAACAGAAATGACCTGAAATCCTTTATGGGTTTAGATCTTTAGCTCATTCTATTTGCAGGTCCTGTCTGCATGGACAGCAGTATGAGGCGCCTCATCTTTAAACACATAATCATCAATATTGATGTGAGAAGCAAACAGAATTTACTTACATGAGCGTTCTTGCCATAGTACGGGAAAAACATCTTATCCAGACGGCCTTCAGGTGGGAAGTAAAGCATCTGCAGCGGCGTGTTTCTCTGTCAGGCAGTGAAACAGAAACTGTGAGTTATTGAAACTCTGATCTGTCACTGCACTCATTCACAGCAGCTACGCCACACGCCTACACATGAAAACATTCACAGGAGCATGGTGGGATAGAAGGATTGGTTACCTTGGAGGTACAGTTGATGTATGGATCTCCTTGGGGCTTCAGTCCAATGACCTGCAGACAGAAACGTGCACCTCAGTCATCCTCAGCTGCAGATACAGAGTCAATCTGAACACTAAAGCACACGTTTATTTGTTTCTCTACAGATTTTCACCAATAGTTGGCAGAAGTTGCAAATTTGTTTTTGCCAGGACTGTAAAGACATCGATTATCTTTGCAAAAATAGGATTAAAAAACTTGAGTTCATTACAGCAAGCTGCTAAAGGTCCTTCACGAGTCAAATGCTTTTGGGTTTATTGTTATTCTAGGTTATAGTCAGATAATCCATAAAGTTGCAGTTAAGGATAGAGAGTGAAGTTCAGACTGCTGTGCCTAATCCAGACATCATTATGAGACATGGATGATGCTGGTAAATTTGGCGCTACAGCTATAAAAGAAGTTCAAAAAAACAAGTAAAAAAATATATTTATCTTTATTTTCATGAGATATACTGTGCTTATAAGATCTGTCACCCAAAGTATGTGGGGTGTCATAGTGTTCACTGTGCTAAAGAACCTGTGAAGGAAACCATACAGGCTACTTTTCCAACTACAGCCTACACGTTTCTGTCAGCCTTATCATGGCAACATTTCTCTTTGGAGTCCTTAAGAGCCCTTACCAATTTTGTTCGGATAGAGCCACTGACTTTAACCAGTGAGGAAACATACCCTTTATTTTGCTCATTTAGAATATACGTAACACCCCTAGGTGAGAAATTGCGGTATGTTAAAGTGAGGAGGATTTGTCCCCTTGGAAGTAAAGGCTGTAGCGCCCCAGGGGCCTCCTCACCGGTTCTTTTCCTGGGAGCAAG